GTCGTACAAGTGTACAGATACTTATTCATATAACGCTTCTCATTAATGTGTGCAGACACCATGAGGTGTAATAGCTAGATATCTTAAATCATTTTGTATTATTGAGCTTATTTTGTATTATTGAGCTTAAAAATGCCTTTAACGTTTTTCTTGAGGTAGGTAAAAAGCTAGACATTACTTATTTAAAACTTTTTTAGTGTTCTAACCCTTTACTTACATGTTTGTGTTTTTTTAGCTGTTGTGTAGTAAGTGGAGGTTTACAAAGTAAGTCACTTTACCATTTAACTATTCGTACTCTTGTTCCATATGGATTGCAGCCACCACGATGTAATATCACCTACTCTGTTCCCTCCCTGTGTTCCCTGGTTCGGTTCCTCTTTCTTTCCTGGCCCTTCTGAACTTTGCCCCTAAGCAAGTTTTGGCCTGTTTAGTTTCCAAGGTTGGTTATTATGGGGGTGCATCCTGCCCTACTGTTCTCCTTAAATACCTGGGTATTGTTTGGCTGAAAATTTGAGCCACAGGGGTGAAAACTCACTTTGGTTCTAGGCCTGAAGCATGAGTAGGGTCTATAGTATTGGGGGCAGGTCCCACCAATCTATCCAACTGGTAAGTCTAATCTGCTAATTATTTTTTTAATGCCATTCTCTCTCTCTTATTTTATAAAATGTTTGTTTCTCCTCTCTCACACACATACACACACTGCGAGGCTTTAACACATTTGTGGAAAAATGCCTTTATCTTTTAATTCCATTTTTCCACAAAAGTTTGAAGCACCTTCAAGAGTATGCATGTCTGTGTTTATATGTCTCGTATATATGTGCGATCTTGTAATGTAAAGAATTATTTGGTTTCTGTTCTTGTGCCTGCAGGAAGTATGTGTGCCTCATTTCTTACACAGAGCTATCAGCTACCAGTTCTTGACACCCTGTTTGTGAGAAAGAAACACCAAGGCAAAGATTTTGGGCTCCGCGTGCTCGAGGACTTTGTGGATTCCTTCACCGAAGAAGCGCTTGGCTTACGATACCCGCTGTCCTTGCTCATGTCCACAGGTAAACAGACCAGACACAAAATGTTACGCTCTTGTTCCGAATGTCACTTTTCCTCTAAAGGTTGCTCTCGTGTGCACATATTGATAACAAATGAATTTGGATTTTTGGCTCTCAGAGGCTTTATGTGTCTATTTCAGACAACTGG